CTCAGCTCAGTTCACTCGCCACTGTTAAAATTTCTCTTTCCGAGCCGAATGTGGTGAAATACCCTCATCGCATTTTGTTAGTTTTTGACAATTCACACGCTGGTCCGTAGTTGGACCTTCTCTATATTTTACGTTCTCTGGTTTAACTATTGTATAAAGACTATAGACATGTGTATGGTGTATAGTGTCTAAACATTCATACAGCTATGCTACTCTATATGGAAATAGTGAATATACAAAACTAAGAAATATGTAAATAGATAAATAATAAATTTGTTTATATTTCTTGCTCTTCCGTGGGGTCGTGGCATTTTTTGTAGAAATAAAATACTATGAAAAATACACAAGGACCAATGAGGATTAGTCATAAAAAAAATCATGAACAACATTTTTGAAGCCACTATTTTGAGTGAAAAATTTCAAGGTGAAGTTGTACTTCTGCCACGGATTCCAATGATTACTTCAGATTCGCTGTTACCATTTAAACATTTACAATTACCCATCTGTTTGGCATTTGCGATGACTATTAATATGGCACAAGGTCAAACAATGACGATTTGTGCATTAGATTTAGAAAATCCATGCTTTTCTCACGGCCAATTATACGTTGCGTGCTCGAGAGTAGGAAAATCATCGAATTTATTTGTATATCGATTGGTAGGATTGTGATAAATATATATGAATGACGTTAGATATTGTTATAAATTTATAATCAAAATTTTCATCAAAACGGTCTAATTGTTACAGCTAATTCCAAAAAGTTTACATTTAAGACGTGGGACAGGACAACGTCTGTCGGGCTTCTAGTATGTATGTATGTATATATAAAATTGCCGAACAAATAATGCATACACAAACTAACCAAGTGGTCGCAAATATTCTTATACATATATATACATATGTGTAATTATGTGTGCATGTAAACAAATATGAAAGTACCCATTATAATTGTTAATTTGTCTACATGCAACATATGTATGTAAATATGTACACTCATTGTTTCATGGGAAATCTCCGTTGTCAGGAACAACCAGTGGCAGATACAGAATTTCATCCTTCAGGGGACTATTACCTTCCAACATATTTGTAATATTGATATTACTTCGTAAATTCTTCTCAATTTGATTTAGAATTATTTGCCGCGCTCTGGTTTTATGATGGTAGCGAACTCTGTGAATCGATCTATTTACTATATAAATTTTTTGTCAATATTTTATAATTACCGAACTATTATTTATTCCCCCCATTGGTCCGCTTCCCTTGCCGCTCTAACAGCTTTGCCAACAAATCATTGTAAATATGTACTTATGTATGTATGTTTACGCAGATTTTTGCGAGCCACGGAAAAATATTTTAGAATAGTAAAATATTTTAAAACGACATGAGCTTCGTTGCCACTTTTTTCTGTGTTTTGTGGGTTTGTAGGGTTGTCACTTTTCCCTTCTAGAGGGAACATAGAAAGTTCTTCAGTTTATGATTTCTAGCTTTTGCCATCGTCGCGAAATGACGCCTGTGGGCAAACGCATGCTCGGGGAGATGTGTATGGCGTTTGCTTATATAATATGTATGAATATAACGACTTAGCTTATTGTATGTGCGCCAGCTTTCATAAATGAAAATGTTGTTATTGTGTGATTTACTACAAATTTAGGACTTGTCAATTTAGCTGCCATATTGATTTCAGATGCTGCTCATGCTATTTGAAACAATCGTTGTTTTTTTACAACAATGTATGTAGTTTTTTCTATTGGCAGACATACTGACATCTGTACGCTTATATGTATGTAGATTTGTGTATGCATTACTTATGTTGCAAGATCATACGCATATTTGTACATACATACTTACATATAGAGCAGTGCGCGCACATGTATTTATTGATAAGTGATAATATCAAAAATTCTATGCCTCCATATGTATATACCAGAAAATGCAAATGTATTCCATATTGATATACTTGTGTACATATGACACATAATATATGTGTGTACATATGACACATAAATTGTTCAATCCGTGGTCGGAATTTTTCAGTTCTGTTAGCCGTCCAATCGAGCATCATATAAAATACAATTTGCACTTTCTCGTCCATTTACAATACTTTCTCTGGGTGAACGATCACACGTACTTAAGAGTTTCGGTTAAAATTGTCAATTGAGCCTAAGAAAATCATTAAAACTTTAATAAAAATCTCTGATAGCGCTATTTTGTTATTAACCGGTGTTTAAGCCGAGAGGTGACTTGAAGGGATGCACAGACCTGAGAGAAAAGATACTTTTCTATACAGTTTAGTATTAATAACAAGTAAGGAAGCTCTAAGTTCGGTGTAACCGAACATTTTATACTCTCGCAACTTGCAACGATCAAAGCCCGGGAAATTACTTCAGGTGTTGGCAAAATTTTATATTAAAGGAAGTATTGATCGGATTTAACCCATTTTTGACCCAAAGACACACTATTAGTGAGAGTTTCATATATTTATTTTATTATATGAAATTCAATTATATAAATTATATGGGAAATAGGCGTGGTTGTAATCCGTTGATTTCGTCCATTCTCGCACTATAATATAGAAATATGAGAAGAATGTTATGTTGGTTGAAATCGGTTTAGCAGATCCCAAGATATGGGTTTTCACCTAAAAGTGGGCGGTGCCACGCCCACTGACCAGTTTTGAACGCGGTTCCTATAAATTCATCTCATACCATCCCAGAAATAAAATTTAATGTCTCTGGCGTGTTTAGTGCTTGGTTTATCGCGCTTTTAGTAGTTTTTAACAGTACCGTTACATGGGGAGTGGGCGGGCTTGTCACCCGATTTCCTCTTCTTTTTATTGCTTCAATTGTTTGTGATCTTCGGTTGCAAAAAAGCTATAATACCCTTTACAAATACAAACGATTTTATTCAATAACTTGATTTTGATAGCGCAAATGAACCTGGTGGACCTATAACGAACATTTTGAAGATCTCGCGTATGCGGATGATATTTGCTTATTGGCTGTGAAGCGCTCGATGAATACGGAAAATCGTCAAAAACAGAAGACAAAAAACAGGAGAAGATGGAAATTATAAAAAAATACATTTACTAGTTTTGTTTTAATTGTAATTATTTTTATTTTGTTATCATATAGCTGACTTCTGAATATTGTAAATTTGTGTAATACGTACTTATTTTTACGAATTGTATAAAAGGGAAGACTTTTTCATTAAGTAGTAGAAATAAAGTATACAAGTGTGAAAAACTAATTTAATCTCTTCTGTCGACTTATGAAGCAAAACAACGTGATACATGATACATTTTACCTAATACCTACACATAAAAACATATTTACTTAAGCCATACTTGAACCACAATGTATGCATATATGACATAACATATACATACATATGTATATACGCATGTTTTTCCGTAAAAAAAGTGTGCTCACCTGATATTAATTTCATTCATAAATATATAATATATTTATACCCCTTAGAGTTGCGCAATAGGGCTCATGTTTAGTTAGAATTGTTTTTACACCAAACAAAAACATTTGAAATAATAAGGCTTAAAAAAATTGTTAAACACTCTAATGCATATGTCATATATCATGTGTATAGTTTAGATGTTCATATGCTATGTGCACCATACATAAGTACACGTAAGTATGTCTGATATACCAAATATAATACAGATATGTATTATAAAAGTATATGTATTGTACGTATGTCCTCTTTGATGGGTAGGTTTTATAATTGTTTTTTCTTCAAAATTACATGAGTGTAGCAATAAATACACCTATGTATCTGAATAGATGTAATGTAGTATAAATACATTTTTGTATAATTGTATGTTTACATGAAATACTAAGTAAATATATGCTTATGGGTCTGCGTTTATAAAATATACTTACTTACATAGCATTTGCATATCTTAACCAATTGCATTCATTTGTGTATATTTGCGCCAATTTATATAAGTATTTATAATTATATATTGTAGTTGATTCGGTGGCACTTGTTGTTGTCTTTTGTACTTTAAATACCACAATAATGTTATCTATGGGTCTATAGTATACTTATGACTATGTATGTACATGTATGGACAGTATTATTCCAGCTAAGAAAATCTTTTCACGTTAGACAGATTTTTGCTTAAGCAGGTAAGGCATGGTTTAGATATCTTACTTAGTTTTTGTGATACCCATTTTAAAGGGAATCGTCAGAAAGACGAAAACCGATACATTTGTTATAATGAGGCACAGAGAAGCTGTAGATTTAGCCCATCCATCCATAGACGAAAATCGCATTTTGCATTACTCAGTTTTTGTAGATAATTGCCAGAAATCAGCGTAATGTATACCCTGGCTGTACGCAAACGTTTTGTCAACGAATTTGGATGAGATAGCTGAAATATTTCATGGTTGACCTATACGTGACTGTGCCCATTTCCTATATTAACCTCCTCAGGTGATGGCGGACAGACAGATATTGCTAAATCAATTCGTCATCTGATCCGTTAGAAGAACAAAGCTGTTCAACATGTTGCGGGAGTAAAAAAACTTAAACAATTGTTTAAAAATTCATGGAAAACTGAAAGCATAAAAAAGCAAATTCATAAATTTCAGAATTTTTAGAAATTTAACATATAAACGAAGTATTCGTGGTAAATTTTTACCATTATCTGTGTAAAAAAATTTCTACTATATATTTTTAACAATGTTTTGTTGTTTATCTACTTGGAAATTTATACATATAATACATATATCTTTTCGTCAAAAAACTTGCATTTGGCATTTGACATTTAGAAAATTTGTGTGTTGTAATATATACCGTTGATATAAAGAAGCAAAAATGAATTGGAAGACCTATATTTAATAAATAAATACAATAATAAAAAAAATGTTGTAATAGGACACAATCGGCTTATCAACTATCAGGAGGAGGAACAGTTAGAGTCTTGACATTTAATTTACTATCAATAACATTTTCTTTATCATAATAAAAATGAACGAGGGAACTATATTGTGTAAATACAAACCGAAACTAGTTATAGGTTTTTATTATGCTCTTACAACCCTAGAGCATATTAAGAGAGCGAACGTGGTAACAAAAACAAAGATTAAATTTTCAAAATAATTAATGAATACAAGTATACACATGACTATTTAGCATGGTAAAGAAGGACATTAATTACATGAGAGGCCGACCGGATTTCATATTCCACAGAAAACCCTGTCACATATTTCACTTTTGTTTTGACATAACACATGAAAATAATATTAGGAAAAAATAAAAATTTACTTTTTGCCTTATGTTTGAACTTTCTAAGATTTATACGCACTTATAGTGGCCAATTTAATAAGTAAGAGTGTGTATATATATGTATATATTTCATACTCATTGCAAGAGTTGAAAATATCTGTTCTCTTCAAGTAGCGAGCTCAACGACGTGGTCATGTCGTTGATTATCATATTATTGCTGGGATGTGTTGAACTGCTAACAGCTTGCTGGGCGTTTTGCTCGTAATCGGGCCTTTCATTGTCCTGATTGTTATTGCAATGTGTGCTGGAATCGTTAGTATGTAACCAGTTTTGACAATTCTGCACATATTCAAGTGTGCGTTGGTATGTATCGAAACGCATGCCGCCATTAGCGATCGATGTGTCGTTTGGAATATAGGGCACATTTTGTCCATTATTTCTACTATTTCCACGCAATTCAGTAGTGGATGCTGCTACTGTTGTTATTGTTGTTCTTGGAAAGTTGTTTATGAAATGTCCGACTGCTGGGCCTACCTGGGTTTGATTGGTCAATATTGATTGCATGGTCATAGTGGTGGTAACAGCCGTTTGTGTTGTAGTGTTTGCTGCCATTATAACTTTAGTTGGTGGGTTTTGTTGCCGTGATTCCAATATGGGTGACATTTGGGATTGGCTGATATCGCCGCACTGAATTTCGGCAACAGCTAATTTGCTGACTGGATCACTCAATAATGCTAAAGCTGGCTCTTGAAGATGCTGCATTTGCTGTTGTTGCTGAAACTGTCGCTCAGTGCTAGGTACTCGGTAAAATATGTTATTATTTACACTCACAGCTCCAAGTGTTGTAATCTGCTCAGCGCAAGGTTTTGGAATATTGTCTTCTTTAGTTTCTGGTAAACTGGTCATTGATGAATCGACGCAAATAGCTGTATTTTCTTGTTGTGGCAGTTGCTGTTGTTGAAATTGAGAATGCTGTTGGTGCTGATACTGTTCTGGTAAATTTGAATTGTGTACTCTAGAATGATTATTCAAATTCTCCATGCGGAAGTAGTTAATTGCCAAATGATGTTCGCATTGCTGTTGCGGCTGCTGTTGCTGATGCAATTGGTTAGCTAGGATCCTGTCATTTGTTGAATTGTTATAACAGTTATATTCCATATCGTGAGGATCTGCTACTTGTGAGTTGGCGCGATAGTAGTTGTACGTTGGATTAAGTGCTTGAGGACTACAAATATCATAATTGGCGGTTCGGTTGGAACTTCCCATTGCCGTCACACAATAATCAGATGAAGGAGACATCATTTGACCCATTGTTGTTTGGTTTTGTGATACGCAAGTTAAAGCGGGCCTCTTTGGGTACATGGCGGGAGAAGCTGATGGGCACGCTTCTTTCACAACATCACTTTCTATTTCTTTTGGTTTCGTTTGTAATGGCTGTTGGCTTCTTTGTCCCTGTTGCTGACTTGGATATGGTTTATCGGCTACTTGATTAAGATATATAAGCATTTCATCTGGTAATACCAATTTATTCTCAATAAGTTCATCTTCTTCAACTTCATCCAGATTAACTCTTTCGTTTGGATGATGTTCACGAGATGAAGCGATAGGCTTTTCTACAACACAATTAATTGTTTTCAGTTTATTTGGACTGCCTTCTATTTCTATGCCATTAGTTGCGGGAGTTTTGCTGGGCATTTCGTACGGAACAACTGGAATGTAAGTCGGTGGGGGGGATGAACACTGATTGTTTTTTGTCCTTATAGGCTCAGATTGACGACGCCGTAAATGTCCTTGAGAAGATTTCAACATTGAGCATGAATTACAATGCTCTTGAATGAGTTGTGGAAATAGAAGGTTTGGTATGGAGTTACGACCACGGTCGCGAGGTGGAGTTTTATGTTGATAATTTTTGCTGTGAAGACGCAAACGTGATGATATCAAATGCGAGGATGGCGGTGGTGGCAAACTGTTGCTGTTCCCATTGTTTCCGTTCAATTGCATTATATTATTGCACAGGGAATTATCAGTAGCGGCAGTTGAATTGTTAAACATCAAGTTCTTTGCAGGGCCATTGTCAATGATTAAAGTATTATTGATATTGCTGTTGGAGTTCACATTAGTGTTACCATTACCATTATAATTACTACTGCAGCCGCCTAAAACACCAGAAGTTATACTTGAAAGTTGGCTTGATCGTCGCGAACAGCCTGGCGATATAGGATCATAGAAAGAGCCTGTGTTATGTGTTGGTCTCATAGTCGATATAGAAGACACCTGAGAAGATTGGCTACTTCGCCTACTCTGCATACTGCAATAGTAAGTGCTAGCATTGGAATTTTGACTATCACGTCTTAATTGTTGTTGTTGTAAACGGGTCTGAAGCTCAGTTGTATGACTTCCTGTCATTTTCGACATGTAATCTGTGCTCGGCGCCGACATGGGAGAAGTGGTTGGCTCCATTTTTAAATTATTTATCCTTTGATTTAATTCACCAATTCCTATGCCAACATTTCGACGTACTTCAGGAATGTTTGATAACATCACTGAACCCAAATTTATACCTTTTGACTGTAATCGACTCCGAAGACGCTGCCGCGACAGAGTTCCACCAAGAACTCCGCTTGCACCACCACCGCCTCCCATCGCACTACTTATATTTCCGCAGCCACCATTTCCGGTATTGACCGCACTACCAATGCTTACCATAGCGCGCAAAACATATGGCAAGTCCTCAACTTCCAAATCTTCGTCATACTCCCAACCCTCATCAAGCGGAGCTACAGAGCTCAATTGAAATTCGTCAGCTATAAAACCAGATCCTGAAGCAGAATTTTCGTTGTCATGAATATTACCGGTCGATCGTAATTGTGACTTCTGTACCAATAGCTGATTTCCCTCCGTCCCATTGGGGCTGTGATCTGGTGAATTAGCATCAGATTCCGATTTGATGCTTGGACTGGAAATGCTGTTTGTTTTGCCCGAGTGCATGTCATCACTACGAGGGCTTGAATCAATTTGAGGATGATTTTGGTTATGAAGATGCGTATGTAACGAAGATTTTAAACCATTTGAACCAAGCACACTGCTGGTAATACCATGCCCATCTACACCACCATTATCATCTTCGTTGGAAGACCCCTTGTGTTTTTTGCTTGCATAAAAGTCGGCACCATGCACTGTTTTCACGTGTTTACGTAAAGAACTAGGGTCGGTATAGCGTTTGGTACATCCTGGCGCTTTACATATATATGGTTTCTATGAAAAATAAGATGATACGAATATTAATATAAATATAGGTATGCATACAAGTGGGAATTAGTGGGAAAAATGAGGTCATACTGTTTTCAAAATTAATGAAATATTTATAGATATCTTAACTCACCTCATTGCTGTGCGTGCGATTTTGGTGCTTAGCGCGATCACTTGCATTGCTAAAGGCTTTACTGCAACCAGGGTACTCACAGGTATAAGGCTTCTCGCCTGTATGTGAACGTAAATGGGTTTTTAAATTCTCAAGACGGGAATATGCCTTGCAGCAACCCTCGAACTATTAAAAAACATGTAAGAGAATATGTATGTACATGTTAATAAACATATATAGTGTATGAGCGAAGTATTGTGTGACAGCCGTTGACTTTAAAGTACATTAATCATGCCCCAACAAAGCTAACCACTATGAAGAAGAGTTTTTTAAAACTTGGATGTACAACTCTTAATACCAAACTTGTTTCATTACATTCTAAGCATCTATACTATTCATTAATGTATGTATGTTCATATATATTGTTGTATACATCTACTAAAACTTACCGTACATTTATGCGGCTTTTCCCCAGTGTGGCGCCGCATATGTACAACTAACATATATTGGGCTTTAAAAGGCTTTTCTCCACGAGAACATTCAATCCATCGGCATACGAACGCTTTTTTATTGGTCTGTATGTGATCATTGTTAATATGTTTAACTAACTCTTCCTGCGTCACGAACTCTATACCACAATCACGCCAATGACAGTTGGTTTCTATAAAATCACCTGGTTCGTCTTTTATGTCGGTAGTGTCGACAATGGGGCACTCATAGTCGCTGTGTGGCGTTGTTGTCGTTGTTGTATTACACTGAACATTATTAGAGCAGGGTGCCAGTGGACTCTTGATGATTTTGCTCCGACGCAGGAGTGCATTTGATGTCGCACTATCCGCTTCAACTTGTGCTACGCCACTTGATGTTGAAGTCGGCAGCTCAGGCTTAGTTTTATTGTTTAATGCCACGTCTTCATAATGCTATAGAAAAGAAAAAAGTACGCAGATATGTAGTAAGTAAAAATTAATTGTTATTTTTATAAGACAAATAATGGAAATAAGTACAGCTAAGATAATCATATGTATTGCGAGGCACTTGCAAAGCAGGCTTATATTTATAGGCAGCTCACAAATGCTTACTTTTTTTCTATTTAATATGTGTTCGTTTGAGATGGTGCTTGGATTTGTCGTATTTACTATGTCACTAACATTATTTTTTTGGATTTGTGACATTCTTCCAGAGTTGCTTGTGCTACCAACACCATTGTTTGCAACTGTTGCTGCGACAGCGGCTGCTGCAGCTGCTGCTGATTGCAGTGGGTGTATATGTCCCATAGCAAACATACTGGCAGCTGCAGCTTGATGTGATGGCATAGGATGAAGTAGACCAGCACTCGCGCGTAGTAAATGGGCTTGTAGCTGTTGCAAATGAGGAACTGGACTAATAGTACCAGCTGATAAGTGACCGTACGATCCACTAGCGGCACTGCTGGAGCGCGAGCCATTCATAATTGTGGCCAATGAGTTTGGCGAGAATCGAATCATTGAATTTATATCGAAGGAATCCGAATATGGCGAGGAGGAAAGAGCACGTTTCCGACTAATGCTGGCTCGTAAACTTCCCGCTCGTGAACTATTCATCCGGGATCCATCGACGCTAAAATGAAAGTCAGTACTTGTTAAAGAATTGGCAGCTACTGCTGCAGCTGCCGCCGTTGCTGGATGTAGATCACCCAGGGAGCTAACAGCACGAGCACCTAAATAATCACCAGAGTTGAGGGTCAGGCCTGTTAAATGAAATGTTGAAGGACAGCCTGTATATGGATCTGCAAAAGGACAAAGCAAGTATGATTATGACTGAAGCGCTAAGTATGGTTGGTACACTAAATTATACAATTTCCCTGTAAGTAAGAATATAAAGAGTATGAAATATTGCTAGTCGTCCGCTCAACTGTATAAAAAAGCAAACAATTATAGCGAAAATTACCAAATTATATTAATTTCGTCTTTATCATAATGACAATTGTAGTCGGTTCCTAAAACAAATTACTTATTATGTCAATTCAAGAAAATTCCAGTTATGGGACGATGGTGTAGTCCAATCTTTATTTTTACCTCTCCGAAATCCTAAAGCAGCGTTATTTTATAGATGGGAAGTAATTTTCAGTTCAGTAAGTGAGTGAGTATAAGAAGGTCCAATCCTAATTTATAATTTAGAGAGTACGTTTCAGAAATTCTAAAGTATTGTTATATTAGAGATGGGGAGTAATTTCCAATTCAGTAAGTGAGTAGGTACATTGGATTAATGACATTCTATAATGCTATGGGCCATACCATGCTTGGTTTAACTAACATATTTAATTGGCTTCTGATATATTAAACTAATTGTGTTTTTATATAAGATAATTTTGTTTGTAGGCGATATTCTAGGTCAAATATTTGTTTTTCTCGCCCTTACCTTTTTCGAGAAAGCTTATTCAATATATCTCAGAGGCTCAGAGGGATGAGTAGACATTCATGACTTAATAGCTCATTTGAGCATTTTGAACCATTTATTTAATTCTTAATCTATCGATTTTGCTTCATATTATTACAAACAATAAAAAAAAAGAAATATACTAAACAAGTTGTCTTCTGAATCTAAAAAATACACCTTTTTACGTACCATGAAAAGATGCAGTAGGACTGGTACGTTGGAGTGAGTACAAGTGTTCCATGTAGCTTGGAATTCTGTAGGCTGGATGGAAATCGTGTGGTTGGCCTGTAGGGCGTGGTACAGCACCGTGAGTGTTATGATGTGGGAGGGAGTGATGGTGTGCAGCAGCAGCCATGCTCGTGACGTCCAGAGACATTTGCACGTTGCGGCTCTCGGCAGGATTGCACTCATCCGCACCACTATTTGGATTGCCATTGCAACCGCTGGTGCAATTGACGTTTGTGGAGTTCGTAGCAGTCACAACTGAGGTCGGTAGTGGCGGAGGCGGGGGCAGCACAGTTGCTGCAGCGGCCACTGCAGCTACCCGTCGCGAAGCCAGAAATTGTAGATCTGAATAGGTACTGAAATACAAAGAAATTACGAAATGAAATATAAAAATATTTCAGTAAAATTAATATAACTTTATAATATGTCGCAATGGGAAATTTTTTAGTTAATCTCCAAATAATTCAATGCACTTGACTAGAGGTGGGTTCACTTTGGCTTATCAAGTTTGACACCTTTTGAAAAAGTTCTAACCATGAACTGATTACTGTGATGTGGACGAAACTTGAAAGTTAACAGTCTTCAATTCGAAGTCCAAGGCGATATTTACGAAGATAAAAATACACTAAAAAGTATCTAAAAATATTTCAAATTTTTCACATAAGAACACAGAGGTATTGGATAATACGTTGTTAAATTTTTTCGCATGGTGTCGCCTGTTTCATATGTAAGTATATTTGTGTGCCTAGGAACTTAGTCTCCTCACCCCTAGTCCATTGTTTAACCAAAAAGTTTGTTAATCCAAACAATTTAAATATAATACGGTTTCACTTGGTAGCAAAAGATAACGTTAATTAACTTTATTTTGAACTTCGAACCGGGTCGAACGATCGATTCCTTTTCAATCAATGTTTACAGGTCGAAAACATAAAGACTAGGCTAGTATAAATAATTGGTTCAAATAATAACAACCACATAAGGTATGGTGACAACAAATATAAAGGTTGGAAATAAACTTAAATAAATAAAAAACAAGTAAGGGAGGGCTAAGTTCGGATGTAACCAAACATTTTCTACTCTCGCAAAGTCAAATGGTATACTCGTTTTAGATTTCTTTGTGGATCTTGCCGCCTTGTTCTATGTTGACCGATATTTTCGGCAAAAAGTCAACCATAGGCACTGGGGTCCACATATTTTGGTCACAAGGTGGCATACTTTAAACGTATTATTCACGCAAAGCTTTACGCCGATATAATCATTGTTGCTTGATTTGCATACTAGAAAGTGAAAAAATCAGATGGAATTTAAAGTTATGTTATATGGGAAATAGGCGTGGTGGTAATCCGATTTCGCCCATTTTCGTACTAGGCTTGCTTAGTGCTTGATTATCGCGCTTTTAGTAATTTTTAAAAGTACCGTTATATGGGGAGTGGGCGGGGTTGTCACCCGATTTCACCCATTTTCACACCGTCGATAGAGATGCTAAAAATATTTGTTCCCAGTGAATTTTGTTATTATAGTTTCAGTGGTATAGGAGATATGTACATTAAACTTATTAGGGGGTGGGACCACGTCTACTTTAAAAAAAAATTTAAACTGCAGATGCCTCTCTCTAATATCATCCTGTGTACCAAATAAGAGTCTTGTATCTTGTTGTGGAGCTTAGTTATGGCAATTTATTTGTTTTTGATTAATGGCGTTTTGTGGGCGCGGAAGTGGTCCGATTACGCCCATCTGCAATACCAACCGTCTTACGGTACCAAAAAACATGTGTACCAAGTTTCATAAAGATATCTCAATTTTTACTCAAGTTACAGCTTGCACAGACGGACGGACGGACAGACAGTCACCCGGATTTCAACTCGTCTCTTCATCCTGATCATTTATATATATACTTGTATAACCCTATATCTAACTCGTTTATTTTTGGTGATACAAACAACCGATAGGTGAACAAAACTATTATACTCTGTAGCAACAAGTTGCGAGAGTATAAAAAAAGTGCAATAGCTACAGTGTTGAGGAAAAGTTCAATCATAATTTGAGATGAGTGCATGGCTCACACATATTCTCGAAGCATTTCACAGAACAATGCAGTATTTTAAAGGCATCAATGAAGTTTTCCGTGGTGCTGTCTTACTACTGTCTGGTGATTGAAGACAGACCGGTCATTCTTCGTTTTTCTTAAGATTGAGATTAACGAATGTTTAAGCGGTGAAGTGTTGAAACATTTCAATTGACCATAATGTGCGAACAATTGCAAACTGATCCGCCCTCGGAAATAATACAATTGCTAGATATTGGGAATAGAATAGAACTGCAACCAAATACGCAATGCATTATATTGCCAGACGATTTCTGCACTCCTGTTCACGAAAAACAAATTGATGAACAACCGTTGTTGCCAAGCTATCAGATGAAAAAAAATATACTTCGCTACTGTTGTTGATGAAAATGTAAATTTTCAAATTGTGTTTTTAAATTATCTAGCTATATGCGGAGTTCCATTACATAGGTTAAAAATTGGTTCACCTATTATTCTTCAGCGCAATTTTATTCCGCCTCACTTATGCAACGGTACACCTTTGGTAATCAAAAAGATTACAGGAAATATTATTGTAGGTAGTGATGTTCCGATACCAGTACTTGGAAGTAAATACTCGAGACCTTTCACTAAAACCGAGTATTTTTTGTAATTAGATGCGTGTGCACAAGTACTTTGTGGGTATCGAGGACATTGTATTTACTCGTAGCAAAGTTAACGAAGCTCGGATTAAAATAATTACGTTTGCTCCTCTTCTTCTGTTCTCTTTTTGAAGCAAATTCTATGAAAAATATGTATGTATGGCAACATAATTTCTCTTCTCATCCCTCATTTGTTTTGTCAAGCTAACGGTTCTATAAATATGTTTTTCGCTATTTCGCCATTTTTATAAGAAACGTTGGATAAAGTGCAAGAAAAAGTGTGCAGAAAATGGCGCCCTTAAAAACAAGTAGAGCAAGCGCAAATATGTAAACTTTTTCAAATCATATTATTTCTAAATATGCTATTTAATTGTTTCATAGCCAAAGATAGTTCAAAAACCACACACAAAAGACCTCAGCACCCTGCTCCGATTCTCGCTGCCTTTGTGAAAGTAGTATTGCACAAAGGTAAATTTTTTATGGTTTTTGTAGTCTTATTTTGAATTTAATCAAAACTGCATTACATAGAAGGCGGTTGTAAACATGCCGATATATATATATATATATATAGCATAGCCCGAAGCCCTTCCATGTAGTTTCATGTATGTGACCTCAACGTTTTACACTGATGAATAAAAAAAATGGCAAGGCCAAGTTAGTATACTATTGACAATACTTAAAAAAAATAATAAAACTTAAATCAAATAAATATTAAACATAATGATAAATAATTGGTTCCGTAATTGTTTGGCTCACAACTGTACTATACATACGTACATATATACGTATGTACACTAAAACAATGAAGTCTGAGCATATTATTATACTCTCGCAACTTGTTGCTACAGAGTATAATAGTTTTGTTCACCTAACAGCTGTTTGTATCACCTAAAACTAATCGAGTTAGATATAGGGTTATACAAGTATATATATAAATGATCAGGATGAAGAGACGAGTAGAAATCCGGGTGACTGTCTGCCCGTCCGCCCGTCTGTCTGTCTGTCCGTCCGTCTGCCTGTCTGTCCGTCCGTCCGTGCAAGCTGTAACTTGAGTAAAAATTGAGATATCTTCATGAAACTTGGTACACATGTTTCTTGGTACCGTTAGACGGTTGGTATTGCAGATGGGCGTAATCGGACCACTGCCACTCCCACAAAACGCCATTAATCAAAAACAAATAAATTGCCATAACTAAGCTCCGCAATAAGATACAAGACTTTTATTTGGTACAAAGGATCACATTAAGGAGGGGCATCTGCAGTTTAAATTTTTTTTGTTAAAAGTGGGCGTGGTCCCGACCCTAATAAGTTTAATGTGCATATCTCCTAAACCGCTAAAGCTATAATAACCAAATTCACTGGGAGCAAATGTTTTAACACCTCTATTGACGGTGTGAAATCGGGTGACAAGCCCGCCCACTCCCCATGTAACGGTACTGTTAAAAACTACTAAAAGCGCGATAAACCAAGCACTAAACACGCCAGAGACATTAAATTTTATTTCTGGGATGGTATGAGATGAATTTATAGGAACCGCGTTCAAAATTAGTCAGTGGACGTGGCACTGTCCACTTTTAGGTGAAACCCGATATCTTGGGATCTGCTTAACCGGTTTCAACCAAATTCGGTGCATAACTTTCATTCATATTTCTATGTTATAGTGCGAAAATGGGCGAAATCGGATTACAACCACGCCTATTTCCCATATAACACCATTTTCAATTCCATCTGATTCTTTCACTTTCCACTATGCATATCAAGCAACAATGAATATATCGGAGTAAAACTTTGCGTGAATAATACGTTTAAAGTATGCCACCTAGTGATCAAAAATTGTCTAAATCGAATCAAAACTATTCAAGCCCTTAAGTACTAAATATGTGGACCCCAGTGCCTATAGTTGACCTTCTACCGAAAATATCAGTCAATCCACAAAGAAATCTCAAACGAGTTTACCATTTTACTTTGCGAGAGTATAAAATGTTCGGTTACATCCGAACTTAGGCCTTCCTTACTTGTTTACTATATTTAAAAGTATTTGTAACGTTGGATTACTTTTAATTTACTTATCAAAATTTCTGTAAAAAACGGGTTATAAAGTTTGCAATTCTTATCAAAATCTGTCAATTATTTGCCTTATTATTTAACAGAGGTGAAGGTTTTCTTAGACTTATGAAAATTATTGCCCCACTTTATAAATTTCCGGGTCCAAAATATTTTAAAAGCTTACTTTGCTCGAAATACGATTCTGTTAAATATATAAATCGCATTTAAAAGTGCTAGCGATGTGTGTATACATACATTTGGACCGATACGATGGCAAAGAGACGTGACATAGGTGTAACATTACATTTTTTAGACGGCGTAAATATACAAAGCTGCAACCTTGCTACAAAGGATTTTAAATTGAGGCACACCGCAGACAACATTGCAGACGTATTAAATTCGATTTTTATGAGTTGAGATGTTGAAAAAGTCAAAATCTGACCATTTACTATATTCTAAAGTAAGAGCTATTGTTTAATGGATAAGAAATAGTAATCGATGCATGCGTTGCTGTAGGTGCAACAAAAAACCTTAAGCTGAAAGCTCGGTGAAACTCTACCTACAATATGTTACAAAGATTTTTAGAAATGGTCTCCATTTGCTCTCAGATGATTCTGTTTACCTC